TTTTAATTTGCATTCCTTTGATTACTAATTAGGTTGAACTTTTTAATATGTTCATTTGTTGATTTGCATTTCTTCTTTTGTGACATGCCTGAGTCTTTTATGTACTTTTCTGTGTGAGCTCCTTTTCCCTGATGGAATGGGTTACATAACTGTTATGTTATAAATATCTCTGACCATTTGCCCTTTGCTTGAGGTTTCTCTTTATTAAGTCTTTAAGACTTTATAGGCATTAAACAATTTTTATATTAAGTATGTATGCCTTCACTGTCAGTCTTAGAGCTTTCTTACCTGTTAAGCAAATTTCTTTTTAATAGAAATATTGCTGTATGTTATGAGATAGGACCCTGCATACAAAAGATGAACAAGGCTACATTACTCTTTGCTATTTCTCATTGAAATTAGATCACACCATTACATTAGTGAATTTTCAGGCACATGTAAATATTTTACTAATGCAGTTATTTCTGTTAACCATACTTTCACAAAATGTATTTAGTAGGCCATGTACTCTGTCTCATTTCTTTCAGAATTAGATTATTTAGTGTAATATGTCATTTTAATGCTTTATGAATAATTTCATCAGATTGCTTATACCTTCACAAGATTAAAGAAAACACCATTTAGATATTGGCTAAAGTTGGATTTTAATCATTTTGTTGTGACAATAGCAGCATGGAAGATAAGCAGTCATGGAACTTTTGTATTTCTGTTAATCTTTGTCTTTCAGCTCCATACCCCTCACATGACCACAGCATCATTGGGTTAAATTTAGTCATAGGTACAATACATTAATAGGTATTGGAATTTATCTTCTTTATGCTTTTTAGATACAGATATTTGTAACTAGATTTAAAAAATTTTTTTTTACTGAAAAATCAGATTTACAGGGACAAAGATTTTCATCTGCTAGTTTATTCCTCAACAGTTGAGTGCAACAGCTGGAGCTGAGCTGATCCTAAGCCAGGAGCCGGGAGCCAGGAACTTCTTTTGGGTCTCCCATGTGGTTGCAGGGTCCCAAGGCTTTGGGCTATTTCCTACTCTTTTCCTAGGCCACAAGCTGGATGGGAAGTGGAGCAGCTGGGTTGTGAACCAGCACCTATGAGGGATCCTTGCATGTACGAGGCAAGGATTTTAGTCACCATGCCACCATTCCGTGCCATGTTACTAGCTGCTTTATGGCATAGTTTTGATATGTTTGCTGATTCTAAGATGATTCTTTTGGGTTTCCAAACATATATCACCCTCTCCTCCTACTACTACTTAGCATCTGTGCTTGATTTTCCTTATATTTTGGATAGAATGTCTAGAATAATTTGAAATAGGGTTGTAATAGATATCCTTGTCTCTTTTCTGTAAATTTCATCTGGTTTGCACGAAGTGTGAGATTGACCATTGGCCTAACATCTTTAATATGCACTTATAAAAGAGAGCTTGAATTTTAGTAGTCATTGATTTGCTAATTAAAATTTACACATTTAGATTGGTTAGATAGGAATAAATTCTAGTGTTCTACATTGCAGTTGGGTGACTAGTTAATGAGGGTCTGTTGTAGGTTTCAAAAAAGGATTTTCAGGGTTTCCAACCAAGAAATGAATGTTTGAAGTGATGCACTGGCTAATACTATACTTTGATAATTCATGTTATACGTACATGAAAACACTGTATCCTATTTATGTGTACAATTATATCAACTTTAAAAAAATCAAATTAGAATGGTATTGTGCACAACACCCGGAAAAGGGTCAGATAATGGCCCCAATGCTTGGTGCGTGGACACTTGTCACTAAGGTGAGAGACTGTGGCCCGGCCCTGAGCACTGGCTATTTGGGCAGTGAGCCAATGGCTTAAAGATATTGTTGTCATTCTGCCTCCCCCACAGTTCTTTCCTTGTCTCCATCTCTGTTATTCTGCCTTTAAAGTAAGTAGAATAAATCTTTAACATGTAATACAGGACCTGAAGTAGACTGTTTGCATTTCTCATTTTTTATTTCCCACTTTTACTTTTCCTTAAATGGCTATTTGGTTTTTCCCTTCCACTCTTACCTTCCTTTCCCTCTCCTCCTCTTCTTTCCTACACTCTTACTTTTCATTTGTTCAACTACATTAAGATAAACAAAAACATACATGTGATGTGATCCAGGAAGCAGTATTTCAGGATTATTCTGGAAGTTATTTCTAGCATAGATTATAGCTGCATAAAACTATGCTATAACAAGCTTATAGCCACATGCTTCCTCACAAATCAACACCCTCTGACAAATATACACAGTTTTCACGATTAATAGGCGGATCATAATTGATAACCAAAGACACTTATTGTACATCAGTCTCAGGGACCAGTAAGTCCCTCTTGACATTTCTTTGCTTCTGGTTCATGTGACCATGCAGAGCAGAAACTGATATCCCTGGTACTCATTTTTTCAGTGAGCCAGTCCAGTTTGTGACTTTTACTAAATAATAGCAGCCTGTTGGATGACCAGTGTTTCATATCACAAGCTGTATCCAACTTCCATTCCTCTTTCAACATTAATACAGTATGATTTCATTCCTTCAGGGGTTGCTTCTTCCTCCCCAGAATTAGAATCTTGGTCTCATGAATTTTTTCTCTTCTAATTTAAAAATACTTAAAAATTTATTTTATGATACAGTCCCATAGGCTCTGGGATTTCTTCTCTCCCCATTTCCAATTTCCATCTCCTCACTATTTCCCCCAAACTATTACAATAGCATACTCCTTCAACAGCCATGAGGCCATCTTTCTGCTATTTAAGTATATCCTGACATTGTAGATAGAGGTAGTGGCAGTGAGTCCAGCGGCCTATTGTCAAGATGCATTCAACAGTTTCGTTGGGAATCCATCTTTGCTTTGGAAGTAGAGATTTATACTGTGTTGTATCTTCACATCTTGATGTATAGTCCCCATTCTATGTTTCCTCTAGCTGACTGTGTGTCTCTTCTAATACATCAGTTTTTCTTCTGTTGTTGGCAGATGATGGGACATTGTTTTCAAGTTGCATGTCTTTTTAAATGACGATATTTATAAAAGGTGAACAAATTTTAGGTATTTCATGGTACAAACTTACAAGCGTAGTGATACCTCCCACTCTGTCTTCTCTCCCACTTGCCTTGCCCTTTCCTTCCATATTTAAAATTTTTTACAATGACATACTTTCAGTTCACAAACGCTTAAGTAATAAACCCAACAATTAGTAAGTAGAAAAGTGCTGTCCCTCAAAAATATTGATAAAATTTGTAAACTATTAAATCTCAGAATACCAATTTCACCCACATAGATTATGTATTTTTGTACTCTGTGTATTAGTTGCATCAGATCAGGAAAAAACATAGGATATTTGTTTGGGACAGGTTTATTTCACTAAGCTTACTAATTTGCAGTTGGATTTATTTAGCTATACAAGATAGGATTTCATTTTTTATGGCTGAGTAGTACTATATAGTTTATATATAACCATGTTTTCTTTACCCAGTCATTTGTTGACAGAAATTTGGGTTGATTTCACATTTTATCTATTGTGAAATGAGCTGCTATAAGCATGGGAGCAGAGATACTCTGATATGCTGATGTCATTTCATTTGGATAAATTCCCAGGAATGGTATGTCTGGGACATATTGTAGATTGATTTTCAGATCTCTGAGGAATACCCACAACTGTGTTTCATAATGGTTGTACTGGTTTACATTTCCACCAACAGTATATTAGGATACCTTCCCCATGTCCTTGGCAGCATTTGTTATTTTTTGATTTTCAAATAATAGCAAAATTGGGGAGAGGTGAAACCTCATTATGCTCATTGCAGTTTCTATTTGTGTTTCCCTGATGCCTAGTGATAATGGGCATTTTTCCATGTGTTTGTTGCCATTTGTGGTTCATCTTTTGAAAAACACCTGTTCATATCCTTTGCCCATTCCTTAACTGGGTTCTGTTGTTGAGTTGCTTGTGTTCTCGCTGGGTCCTGGACATTAACTCTGTGTCGGTTATTTAAGTTGCAAATATTTTCTCCCATTCTTTTGGTTGCTTCTTCACATTGCTGATGCTTTTCTTTGCACTACAGAAATTTCTTAGCTTGATCTAACCAATTTGTTTATTTTTGCTTTCATTGCCTGTAACACATGCGTGTTTTCCAAGAATTCTTCGCCTAGGCTAATGTCTTGCAGAGTCTCCGATGTTTTCCTCTACTAATTCAATGGTATCAAATCACAGATTTAGATCTTTGATCCAATTTGAGCATAAATGAGGGATGGGTACAAGATCTCCGTGCTCTCTTCAAACAAGTGACTAAGTTTGGTTTCCCTGTGCTGTGTGTAACTGCCTACAAACTTTTAGTTTCTATTGCATTGTTCTTTTAAGAGAAACAAGACTCCCAGAAGAATCCAGTTGAGCTTGAATTTTTGTGGAGCTAAAAGAAAGAAGGGCTGTTTTTATTTTTTTTTTATTTTTTTTTTATTATTTTTTTAATTGGAAAGGCGGATATACAGAGAGGAGAGACAGAGAGGAAGATCTTCTGTCCGATGATTCACTCCCCAAGTGAGCGCAACGGGCCGATACTATGCCGATCCGAAGCCAGGAGCCTCTTCAGGGTCTCCCACGCGGGTGCAGGTTCCCAAAGCTTTGGGCTGTCCTCTGCTGCTTTCCCAGGCCACAGGCAGGGAGCTGGAAGAGAAGCGGGGCTGCCGGGATTAGAACCGGCGCCCATATGGGATCCCGGGCGTGCAAGGCGAGGACCTTTAACCACTTGCGCCACCGCGCCGGGCCCAAGAAGGGCTGTTTTTAAAGAAAGCTGTAGATTGTAACAAAGAAGCCATATTGGGGGAACTGTTACTAGTCAGCCAACCACAATTTTCAGTGTTAAAAGGGAAACAAAAGCTTACAGGACAATTCATGAAATTACGAATAAGAAAGATTTGGGGGCTTTATTTCTTATTTACACATTTATGATACAATGTTGTTGGTTAACCATGTTGTTTTTTTTTGTTTTAGGTGATGCCAAGTTGAATTTGCAATGTAAAGAAGAATTTATTGAACTTAAGAACATATTCTCTGTGAAACTGAAACGGCGTCTTTGTATTAAACAACCAGGAAGTGGCACTTTACTAGGCATCACACTTTTCATCTGCTTGAAAAAGGGACGAAATAAATTAAAGAATTCTGCACTTGATCTTATTAATTTAAGTGAAGATCATTGTGATGTGTGGTTTAGACAGCTCAAGAAAATTTTGGCAGGTGAGTACTCCCTATGGGAAAATTTAATAGCCTTATTTATGTCACTTATTAATCTAAACAGATTATGTTTATGATTAAAAACTATTGGTGATGTTGAAGTAGATGGCTTGTAATTCTAATTTAATGAGTGTGTTTTTTTTTATGAGATGGGGTTTAACCTTGCCATACGCTTTTTTCATGATATGGTTCTATAGGTACAGAGATTCCCTCCTTCACCTTTTTCCCCTGCCCCCACAGTTTTCACCATATTATTACAGTCCTTTAACAGTCACAGGTCCAACATTCTGTTTAGTGTATCATGGCATTGTAGGTAGACAGTCTGGTATCCTATTGCCAAAGTATATCTGACAGTTTCATTAGATGGGGTCCTTTTATTTGGTAATAGAGATTCATACTGAAATGTATCTCTATTTCCCAGCTGTTCTCCATTATACAGTTCATGTATGAAAATACATATATATATATATATATACTTACCTGTCATTGGCATGATCCCATTTTCTCTCTTCACTCAGCTAATGTGATATATTACTTTGATTTCCATTTTCACCTATTGCCCTCTATGGATAAATCTGGCTTTATCATTATATACAATCTTTTGAATATATTGTTGAGTTCTAATACTGAGTTTTTGCACCAATATTCATACAGTAAGCTGATTTGTGTTCTTGTGTTTTGTAGTGTTTTCTAGTTTAGACACAGTAGTAATTCTGTCATCAAAAGAATGATTTAGGAAGTAGATCTTTAGTGACCACTTTCATAAACTTGGGAGATCTGAAATGACATAGTTTTGAAGTTAGTTCACTTGTGAGTCTTATTTGGAAGTAGGTTTTCTGTTGTTTCTCTTGGGCTAACTTAGAATTTTTCCATCCACATTAGTGACAACTGTGTATGTTGAGTATTTTGAGAAGAAGAATTTTTTTTTTAAATTTTGTCAATCTTTACATAGTTAATTTGGGCAAAAAGGGTCAAGGGCTACAGGAAAGTGGGTAAGACTATTATTTCCATATTGTTTCCTTCATATATCTGAGGTAGAGGGGGATATTGAGGGAGAAGCCCCACCCTGTTTCCCACCCACCCCAAGTCCCGCATGTGGGGCATGCTCCGAGATACTCGTTGACGTGGTTTCAATAGGTCACCAGTTTTGAAATTGCTGCCAATCTTGCCTCTCCAAACATGATGAGGTTGTTGAAAGATCCATTAATTGACATTGTCCATCATAGCATATCTATTTGCCTGGTATTTTGTTGCCAACCTATAGCTGAGGTGGTTGGTTAACTTGTTCCATCTTCTGTCCCTTCATGGTTTGGGTTCTGAGTCTGGCATTTCACTTGGGGAGATCACCAAAGAAACTTCATCTGAGATGTTCCCAGGCCAGATACTTGTATGCACCAGCAAGCACAGGGCCCAGCCCAGTCCATCACCCGGTCAGCTGGTAGTTGCAATTGCTGGGTTGGTTCTGTTTTCAGCCCCGCCTTCTACTGGAACCAATGGGTGTTGCAGTCCAGCCTGGTTCTGCACAGCACATACTCGGTCTTCACCGAAACCAGTGGGAGCTGCATCCTGATGAGAGCGGCCCACAATAACCCCCACCAGGCCCACCCCCTACCCTGGTTTGCCAATATGTGTGGCAGACCAGTCCAATCTGTCCCACATCCCCCCGACTCTCGTACATGGCAAATGGCATTGAAGCTTGGATCCATCTAACCAGCTCAACAGTCAAGCCTTCGCGGGTGTGGTTGAGTGCCTCTCTGTCTAGCCACCTCAGCCCCTGTCCTAGTTCTCGTGCCCTCCCGTGAGAGTGGTAACCCAAGAGGGGGGAACCCACTATTTCCCTCCCAGGTCTCTCCCGGATTGTTCACTTTCCAGGTGGTTCTGCAGTTTAACTTGACAGGATTAGCCCCAGCGCCAGTTTCTGCCAGCTGATGCTACGGCTATGCCCAAACAGCCCTCTCCCATTCTAATTGTAGGTTGCACCCATAGGAACAATCCACCTATCCTGGGTTTTACCTGATCTAGTCCACATGAGGCGCACAGGTGTTGTGGGCCTGCTTAGTCTGGTCTGCCCCCATCCCAGTCCATGCTCTCCAGTGGGAGAAGCTGTCCAGCAGGGGAACCACCCCCAATGACATTTTAACAATTAAGGTGCATAACTGGTTTGGGGGAGTTACAGAGAAATCTCTCAAACTTCGGTGATGGGTACTTATTCTTTGTGCTCTATCTAACAGGGTATGTGTGAGTCTTTGATGTCCTATCTTTCTTTATTGTTCTCTGCTTATCTATTCCTATTTGTGTGTGTGTGTGTGTATGTGTGTGTGTGTGTGTGTGTGTGGGTGTGTTGAGGGGGAGGAGATTCTGGGGCAACCTTGTTGGTCATTAATGATAATCTTCTTTGGGTTTGTGATTTATGCTCTGCTAGTTGAAAGTTTTTAAAGCTGTATTTAGTCTAAGGTTAATAGTACAGAAAAGAACATGCTTATCAGATTCCATTCCTTGTGAATTCAATGCAAATTAAATCTCTAAATCATGGTTTGCATTCTGTGCAGTAAATAACATAAATGCAATTGCAAGGCAATTTGGATTTCTAGACTTTATACAGTATGGATTTTGATTTGAGGGCTTTTTTTTTTGCCTCATGGGTTTGTAGATCAGGCTTACTTTTCTTTTAGCTCATTTCTTCCTAACGGCCTCATTGATTGGATGGCAGCAGTTGCTATAATAGATGATAAAATAGCATGGCAGAGAATAAAGATAATTACCAAATGCAGAGTAATTAGAACCTTCCAGGTCGAGTATCACTAATCAAGAAGATGACCCACACTGCTCAAGGGCAGCCAGCCAATAAGACTCTGCCCATGTAAGACTTGCATGGTCTATAAAACAAAAATGTACCATTTGGGTCTGGAGTGGTGGCCTAGTAGCCAAAATCCACGCTTTGCTTGCACTGGGGTCCCATATGGGCACCAGTTCTAATCCCAGCAACTCCATTTCGCATCCAGTTTCCTGCTTTTGGCCAGGGAAAGCAGTTGAGGACAGCCCAATGGCTTGGGACCCTACCACCTGCATGGGAGACCTGGAAGAAGTTCCTGGCTCCTGGCTCCAGATTGGCGCAGCACTGGCCGTTGTGCTCACTTGGGAAGTGAATCATCGGACGGAAGATCTTCCTCTCTCTTTCCTTCTTTCTGTATATCTGACTTTGCAATAAAAATAGATAAATCTTTTTTAAAAAAATGCACCATTTGAGAAAGTAAAGCTCTGGCACTGAAGCTCTGAAGAAATGTTCTTCCCTGGGGATGAGGAAAGCGCATTTCTTTTCTTTTTTTTTTTTAATTTGATATATTTTTTATTGGAAAGGCAGATATTTGGAGAGAAAGAAATACAGAGAGAAAGATCCTTTATCTGTTGGTTCACTCCCCAAGTGGCTGCAACGGCTGGTGCTGAGTTGATCTGAAGTCAGGAGCCCTCAGGAACTTGTTCTGGGTCTCCCACGTGGATACAAGGTCCCAAGGTCCTGGGCCATCCTCTAGGAAAGCAGCGTTCTAACTGCATCTAACCTGTGAAACTCTACAAATAAGCAGAGAACACGAATAGCAAAGCTGACATTCAGTACAAGCAACTTGACAAGCGTAGAGGGTCTTGTCCGAGAACAAAACACTGTCAAAATATTTTTATGAAATTTCAGTTTAAGTTTAAAAACTTAGTTATATTGACATTACAAACTAAACCTTTTAAAGTCTGAGTCATTATTAAAGATGATTACCTATTCACAGATAATAATATGCCTTTTACTCACTGCCACACAGAGATGTCATAAATGTCTTATAGTTTCTTAAATACTTGTTCTTGGCAACCATTTTAAATGAACAGAATTATCATGTAATTGTTTTCAATAAAAGTTGCTCATAAATACATAGTCTAACAATTTTCCCTGTCATAACATTTGTTTTTACAAACTAAAACATACACGTATTTTACTAACTACTGAAGTTGAGTTAAAAAAACATGTTGGAGTTGGCATTGTGGCATAGCAATTAAAGCTACTGCCTGCAGGTGAACATCCGATATGGACATCAGATTGATTCCTGGCTACTCTGCTTCTTATCCAGCTACCTTCTAAATCCATGGGAAAGCAGCAGGTGGCAGCCCAAGTGTTTGGGCTCCTGTATCCATGTGGGAGACCAGAAGCAGCTCATGGCTTCAACCTAGCGCAATTCTGGCTATTGCAGCCATTTGGGGAATGAACTAGCAAATGGAAATCCCTGCTTCACTCCTTGCCTCCCTCCCTTTACCTTCCAAATAAATCTTCTTAATAATATATTTCTAAGTTAATGGTGTTTTAAAAAATATTCCTTGATTTTTTTTTTATCACTTTCTGAGCTGGATATTCAGAAAAAGTAGATTCTGTTGTATTCTTAGTAACCAGTAGCACCATTTAGTTCTTTGAAGGACATACATGTTTTACTAAATTTTTAATTTTACTCCATCCATTTGGTTCTCTCCTAAAATGTCTACTTGCATGCATTTAAAACTGATATGCTTAGTAAAGGAATAGTGGAAGCAATTGTTTTCTTGAATATAGCATATTAGTTCAAAATTTTGAGCCATTTCCATTCCAGTGTGGCAGTGTGAAAAATTCACTGTGTGTAAGGCGCTGTGGACACAACAAGCCACATCATTAGGCTGCCAAGAATTTAGCATCATAGAACTGAGAAGTTGTATGATAGTGTGACGGCTCATTTGGCTAATCCTCCCCCCAAAGTGCTGAGATCCCATATGCATGCTGATTTGTTTCCAGGCTGGTCTACTTCCCATCCAGCTCCTTGCTTGTGGCCTGGGAAATTAGTGTAGGGTGGCCCAAAGCCGTGAGACCCTACATCTGTGTGGGAGATGTGGGAGAAGCTCCTGGCCTCAGATCAGCGCAGTCCAGGCTATTGCAGCCATTTGGGGAGTGAACCAGCAGATGGAAGATCTTAGTCTTTGCTATCCGTAAATCAGCCTTT